CTTCTCTACGTTGATCATGAGAATATGAACAATCGGCAACATTTTCTTCTGAATCATCGCTCTCGGATCACATTTCAGTAGCAGGATTAGCTTTCTTACTAACTCTTTTCTTTATCTTGGCTTTCCTCTTGGTTTTTATCATCTTTCCATCACTTCTTTATAATCTTTTTTGAACTGACTTCTTTCTTCTCTATTCTTTAGCTTGAATTATTTTATTCTCGGTTGAGATTCAGTCACAAGCATTGCTGAGTAATGCAACAGGTTCCACACATACGTGAAATAGGATTTACACACATGAGCATGATGCAGCACCATAAGTACCCCTTAGATACGCCTCTGGATTGGAACCAATATTTGGCGATTGTACTCTACTGGAAATCCTATCGACCACTAAAAAAATAGTATATAAGTGGTACACTAAACACCAAACAATCTGGTATTTGAGTAGTTGAAGCCTACTAGAATTCACTTAATAACTTTTCTTATAAAATAATATCTCTAGGATATATTTAGGGTGTTTTTTTATATATTTAAGTGTAATTCAAACAAGAATCTAACTGATTTAAACTAATTTGTTTCTGATAATATAATTAAATCTTTTATTTTCGCATTAAATATTTTGAAAATTTCCCCGAATTTTATTTTATTTCTTAACTTATAAAAATCAATATAATATTTTGATCCGAATCTACACAGGCCGTAGGTGAAGATGTGGATTTACGTAATTAAATTGATTAATAATTATTATAACACTGATTATTATTAAACAGTGATTATTAAATCCAATATTTATCCGTATTTCAACTAAATTTACTGAGTTTGATTAATATTTAGTATAAAATTTCACGAACATTGGTAACAACATGATTTATAAATCATTTTAAAAGACAGAATTTATCTTTCCTAGTTTAAATTTATTTTTAATTCTTAATTTTCCATCTATAAATACACAGGATTATTCAAAACTCAGTTAATTAAATGTGTATTTTGTAAACAATTCAACAATTCAAGAAACAATTTGTGATAGTGTCATTCATTGTAATTTGTATATTGAAGAAGGCTCTCATGTTTGTAAGCAATTTAAGTAAGCATTTATAATAGTTAACTGACTTTTGGGCTATCCTCAGAATGAAAAATTATCTACTTATTGACTTTTCTCAATTGACTATTCAATCAGCACGGAAATCATCACTTAAATTTTCTAATTTTATATATAATTAATACAAAAATATTTGATTTTATTCAAATATAATTTAGTTCGAAGTATAACTTATACATATTTACATAATATATAATTAAAATACATTCAGATTAATATTTAAATCGAAAATTTGATAATTAAGTTATATATATATATATATATATATATTACACAATTAACAACTAAATAATGCGTGAAATGGTATTAATATTTTAATTCTTATTTTTCAGTTATTGAAGTTAGTATAATTATTTTCCTTTCACGAATTAATCTAATTACAATATATTACAGTAAAATAATCGTTTAAAAGCATTAATGTTTAGGAAAAATAGAAAATGGATTCTATAAAGAAGCGAATGACGTTAAGTGGAAGAGACATTACAACATCTGGAATAAAAAAAAACACTCGAGTTCACAATTAAATTACGAATTTATTTTGTATTCGGGTAAAGAATAAAAATAAAGAACGTGTAGTTTAGTTAACTTCGATGCAATTGTCTCGAATTTCTCTTCTCAAACTTCTCTATTAAGAGAATTTACTTTCACTAAACAATCCCCAGTCAGCAATGAAGTCTCTTTCTTCCTTTCTTTGTTGCTCCATTCGATCTTATAGCTTAGAGAATAGACGAAATGTAAAAAGGATACTAACAATTCCCTAAATATCGAAGAAAATTCTTGAAATTTCCTAAATGAAATTAATTAAAAGTAAATCATCAATTATATATAACGGGGCTACTTTTAATTTTCTTTACGTTAGATCGAATAACCACAAAAGTTCCAATTTTCCATTTCGTAGACTTAATTGGATTAAACGGATCGCTTTACTTCTCCATTTATCTTATACACTTTCAATTTTATACAATCAAACTTCTGTATTCGGGGTGAGGTCGAAGCTAATTGGAAAAAAAAAAGGAAGAAGAAAGAGGGGGAAAAAAATCGATGCAGACAGATAAACTCGATTTTTTCGTTGATTCTCTTTCGTTATCCTCTATTTTATCTGCGGTGGGGAGGAGAAACTTTGGTTCAGATTTGTAGTATGCTATCTTATTGTGGAGCACCGGGATAAATTTAATCCAGATGAAAACCAATACGAATTGTTGTTTTTTAAACTTTTAAGAAATCGGTAGTTGGATGTTGGATAAATACAGGAGAGAAGAATAAATTAAAAATTAATTGATTAGAAAACAGGAAAGATTCAATCTAAAAATTGGATATATTTAACTAATCTTGATTTGAGAATCAATCTAGAATAATAAATTTTCTATTTTCTCATTGATTTAATGCATATCCCATGAATATTATACGAAGACATATGATTGATAAGCGCAAGTGTTTAGGATTATTCAAAAAACACACAAACATAAAACAATAATTTACAAAAATCTAGGCTTAGAATTAGATTTAATATGAGAAATTTTTGGCTCAAACTGATTAAAATCTTAATTTAAAACATAAAATCTCAGCTTAAAACTTTAAAATATGTGTTTTTCTTTTAAACTAAAAGATGTGTGGTTAAATTGAATTTAAATTAAGGTATTGACTAATTAATATGAATGAAAAATGCGATTAAATTCGAATTTAAAACTTAATTAACTAAATTTAATTGAAAGTAAATTATTAAATTAAAAACAAATTTAATCGAATTCCATTTAAAGAAACTGTATCTGTATGATACAAAAATTTAATTATATTAAAAGCCTTCTAATTTTCTTTCATTGAAAGTAATACAAATCCTGTAACTTCGTCATGTAAATCAATAAATCTTGGATCTTGTAGAAATTAATACTTTAATTTGGATCGAAATTACATTCAAAATAAACTCAGGTTAAACCACACTTTAAGTTCATACTTCATCTAAAGTTAATATATTAAATAAGCTGCTGTCAGTGTTTATAACTAGAAGAAGAAATAATTTATAGATGAAAGAATAAAAGAATTATTGATTCTTTTAAATCATAAACCAAATTTTTATTATATTTTCGATCATAAAATCAAATAGGAAAATATAAAAATTATTGGAATTATTTAGATATCATCTAAGGATAGATCCATTCAAAAATCAATAAAATTCACTCGTAAAATCATAAAAATTCTTTAAAAATTTATTAAAAATACATTTAAGAAGCTTCAAAATAGAACTAGAAGAAGAAAAAGTTTATAAATTTTTTTAAAAATTTATATAACATAAAAAGATTTTTTAATTGGTTTTAAGTTAATCGATTATCTTAAATATTTAACATGCGTAATCATCAATTAAAAAAATTCTTAATAGAGAAATAACCTTTAAAAATCTGATAAAAGTAATATATTTAAATCAAGCAAAGAAAAATCAAGAATAAAATTAAACGTGATGCGAAGAGGAGGATGCTAGAGACTATAACTTTTATTGTTTTCCACTCGTCAAACGTTATCTTTAACAATAAACAGAAATAAATTCTTAATTAGTTTCTCTTGTTGAATTAATTAAAGATTTAATTACTAAAGAGATTTTAGCATCTAAAAGAATTGATTTTCGGTATCTAGTTACGCTAATTATTTAGTAAGGGATCGTCTAAACTCTAAAGTATACACCGACGTAAAGAGAACTTTTTTTTCTATCATAAGAAACTATTATATCTTTATAACAAAAGAACGTCTAAATATATATATATATATATTTTAAGTTAGAATTTAGTATAAAGTTGTAACATCAATCAGTACGATCGTGTTTAGAATTTAAACATGTTTATCTGGAAGATTTCTTAATTAGAATTCTTCTCTTGAGGAGGTCGTCGATTGAACAAGTGTAGCAAATTAACAACCTTGTTAATTTTCATTTGTGGCAAACAATAGTGATAAATTTCGATGAAACATTAAATATAAAGACTTTACGACTGAATACATTCTTCGAAAAGTTGTTATTGGGAATTAAATAACCTCTCCCGCTCCCAAAATAATAAATTATGCCACAAATCTACTTTATCCACATTCTGTTGTATAATGGTATCATTTTTTACCTGTCGCCAGTCCACTTCTCTTATTTTTTTACGTGATGTTTCTGGCTAGTAGTAAACTACCATTACATCCAAAGATACTATATTTACGAGATATAAACATGTTTTATAGATTTCAAACTTTCTTGCACATGTTTTGTCACTTACTGATCATGTTATTGTCAAAATTTGATGAGAATTTATCGATTTTATTGCTGGAATCTCAACTCTTTCCAATATATTTTAAAATAAATAAAACTTTCTTTCTTTTTTTTAGAATTAAGTTATCGAAAATTTTTGACGAAACTATCGAAATATAAGTTTATATATATAAAAGAGCTTATCTGAAAAGTAGAGTAGTAAAAAAGGGAAAATTCCAAGCCAAGCATTTCCTTTAACCGTCGAACTAGCAATAAAATAAAGATTTGTAAAGCTTAAGTGAAGCAGTTTCCTGTCGATAGGCACCGAAGAGTACTTTATATTTTTGGAGGTTAGAAAAAAAGGATAGAAATTTTCACTTGAAACAATATTTGATCTCGTTTTCTTTTGCAGAAAGATAGAAATTTTGCTGATAAAGCAATCATATTAACGAGATTTGCATTTAAAAGAGATGATTTAATCCTTATTAATAATGAATTTCTTTACTTATGTTTTTGATTCATATTTATTCTGAGGATAATTAATTAGAGGCGAGGTCAAAGATTAATTTGCTGGCTTCTTAATACGATTAACTCAATGAATATGTTGGAAGAGATTTTTGTGAAAAACTTGTTTATTGATTAATTTTTTGGAGTTTTGGAGGTATAAAAATAGTAGAATTTACTCACCTTGTTCGTCTTGTAACCGCTTGATGTGTGTGAAAGCTTCTTCAGCAGCAGTAATCAATCTTGCTCTTCTTTTCTTAACACGTCTTTCGTATTCGTGTTCTTCATAGAACCTTTCGTTGTGACTAGTGTCTCTCCTTCTGGCATTAGCTGCCAAAACAGCTCTTGTTTGTCCATTGATTGTATTGTTCCCTATTCCATCTACTTCGTAGACTTTGAAGCCTGAAGTAGACTTTCTTGTTTTGGTGGGAATGGTTTCTAAATACGGATTATAAATACTAAAATCTTGGTAGTATCGTTCTAAAATCCATACGGCAGCTCTTTGTATGCTGAGCTGTCCCATGTTATAGCAATGGCTCTCGCCATCGGGCGATCGTACCACTTTGACAAAATAATGGGGTTGCAATTGTCTAATTTCCATAAGAATCACGGCTAAGTAATGTATGAAGAGCAGAGCGTCCACCAACGATACGGCAAACAACACGATACTCTGATAAGAAGTACCGCTGCTATTCGTTCTCTTCTCGAGGAAGCGCACTCCGTAGAAGAGCCAATACGAGAAGGTAAAAACGAACACCAAAGCCATAATTATAGCTCGAAAAATAAATATTCTGGGCATGGTAGCTTTTGGTTTCCTGAAAAACACTGCCCAACAACCGACTAAGAGTATTAAAAGTTTAAAAGAGAAACTTATGAGCAAACCATCACATTCGGGACCACATTGATCGATCTTCCAATCGAACATCTCTATCCTTGGTAGCACTACCATAACTATGGGTGATATGAAGGCACAGAATGATAGTAGAGCCGCTATGATTGTCCCCATCCACATTTGGCACCGAAATGCCAAACCTTGTTCGAAATCGCGTCCGAATTTGGATATGTCATCCACCGAAGCCGATCTTTCGCTGGTGTTTCCGGTAATGGCGGTAGTATTATCACCCCAGTTATCGTCCTGCGATAGTATTTGCACTTCGATAACTTCTCCAGTTTCCGTTCTTTCTTCTCCACTCTCCTCCTTGTTTCCGGATCGGTTAGACCTGAGAGAGTGCTTTCCGGATCCGGTACTCCTGTTTCTGTGACTGTGATGATGAGAGCCTCCTCCATGACTGCTATGACCTCTGCTCCTTCGAGATCTTGACGATTGTTCGCTGTGACCGGATCTGACCGATTCAGTTTCCATTGTCACCTTGTAGGTAGGCAGTTGAATGCCAGTCCCCACATGGATGTCTCCTGTCCACAGAGACATAAGGTGAATGTGGACAGGTCTTTATACTTCTAAATAGCTCTCATCTGTAACAGAAAAATATATATATATCACTCTTTAGTTACAATAAATACGCATTAATTACCGTAAAATAAATGTTAAATAGTTGGAAAGTATGTTTTTTGCGATTTATTCAAAGATAAATTTAATATATTTACAAGTAAAGAGAGTTCAACGAGGTAGACTTGTTTTCTAAACGTGTTTCTTCTCATTAAATATGTAAATGTAATTCCATGTACGGGCCTACTTGCAATCTTAAAAACCATTTATTTTAGTTCAGCCGTCTTGTATATCCAAATCTCCATAGCTTCCTGCTAATTTGAAGCATCACGTAAGAGAATTTCGACGTTTAAACTTTCCTACTTTATTACGAAGATGTATACTTTTACCTTCAATCAAGAAGTGAATTCGGCAATCAAAATAATAAACAGCTTACGAACTGAATATAAAATAACATAGTAAAATCCTACACATTCTCTTACTGTATCACGCAACATGAATTTTTTTTTTCCTGCTAGTTTAAAATTCATTTACCTTATATTTTTCCCCTCGACAGAAGCGAATTTAATTTAAATAAAAGTATTAAAATGATATTTTCATTAAGGATTATAAAGTGATAACATTTCTTTATGAAAAACTCAGATTTCAAGATGATGAATAGGCACATCTTAATCATGAAATGTGAGGATGATCACGAATTATCCCTCCCACGTTCTAAACGCGGTTAAAATTAATTACTGACTTAAATCGATAGCTGACAGGGAAGATAATTTTGATGAGTTATTTAGTCTCTATCGTCTTTATATTTAGCTACAGTCCTCCCATATCCAATGCGATTTCTTCCACATTCTCTACCACTTTGTATGGCTTCTGAATATGAATGTCACTGGCTTCAAACCGATAAAAGTCGGCAAAAGTTGGCATCACAGCAGAACCATTCGCATTATTTACGCTCTTCCAACGTTTCGTGTCGACCAGCAAACTTGGAAGCAGGTGGTGCGAGCAACTTTAGAGATGAAAGGTCGAGAAGACGAGTACGCTGCTCTTACAACGTTTAGAATTTTAACGCACGCTTAGCATGCAAATGAAATACGAAAATATCTAAATCTATAAAGCAAACTATGTGTACTAGCTTAAGTAAAAAATATTACAGGATGCCGACGGATGTTGACAAGTAAGATATTCATTGAAATATTGTAAAGTATCCCCGCTTTTTTCCGCTTAGCGATAAGTAGTAGTGATGTAGATGCGATACTGGCTATAAAAGTAAAAATATTGAACCGATCCACACCAGCAGCTTGTTTGGAGATGATGTGCAGAATATAAAGAAGAAAGGAGAAAATATTTTGTACCGGCAACGAGACAATGTAATTAGTTCTATATAAAAACTTGGATATATATTTATTTATTTATTTTATTTTATTTTTAAGCATTTCTGCCTTTAAAAAGTTGTTATAATTTGTATTTTTTTTATAAGAATTTTTAGCTGACACGCCACAAAATTTGTAGGCAAAAAAGCTGTAAATTCTCAATTCTACGAGAAGAAAAAATAAGAACTAAATTAGAAGAAAAGAACCCTTTTATTTTGTATCTCGTTAGATTTTCTACCTTTCTAGAAAATAAAAATTCCTGCTTGTTCTTCCATTCATAAACAAGAAAATTCCCGAGATTAGTAGTAGACGATTTTATAATTAATCCAGAAAGTATCTCTTAATCAATCCATGGAAAAAAAATCCCTCTTATGACCATATTTACCTAAGTTAATATTCAGGAACGTTAGAAGGGATACAGAATGGAAATCACAAGAGATTTGAGCATGAATAATAGAACATCGTCAAGCATTCGTCCTCCTACAAATGAAAGAAATGCAAACAAAAATAGGAAAGAGTCGGCTCATTTGTTTTAACGCCAGCCCTCAAAAAACTCTTAGCTGGAATGTCACGGCGCTGGTAAGTATACAGTACAATGACCAGGAAATTGCCTTGGCAGACAATCAAGTTAGGCCTACACAGCTGAAATGTCTGAAGACGCCCATAATACATTCGAAGCAAACAATTTTAGCATCCCCCTTTTTATTCACACGTTCGATAGTTTCACTACTTTACACTTAATGCATGGTCAATGATTTATTTCGCTTTTCCACTCGTTTTCTCTCTACAAGCGGTCGTGTGTCTGTCCACTACTTAATCATTTTTAGAATATATTTCTTCGTATCGTTTACGAAAATAACTATGTATATATAAATATATATTTATATAATCACGTTTTATAACCGTATTTATTTAATGGGATCATTTCTAAAACAGGAATTTTTGCGTGTTAAACGGAGCTTTCTCTCCTAATTTAAGGGGATAACTTTTTGGCCTTGAAGTATAATACGCGAATAAGGAAAAAATTAGGTAACCTTTATCTAAAAAATTCTTATGTTTTTCAGGGGAAATTCTTTTATTTAGTGCAGTTTATGTATTGGATTTATAATAACACTATATGAGAAGTGATAATTTATCATAAGTACCTTGTTGTTAATATAAGCAAATTTGAGTCATAATGTTTAAAAAAATTGTGTTTTTTTTTTATTTTTTCAAGTAAATTAAGCTTATTTGTCACAAATTTGTGCCAAACCGGATTTTTCTGATAAAATCTCCTCGCACATTGGATCCGCTATTAACGTGTTAAAAGTAGCGATTATTGACCTTTAAATAAGTTCAATGTCTAGAATTCCGAAGTGTTTTACTACTAAAACTACCAAAAATCATTTAATAGGCCACCGATAATGTTATACAAATTACTGTCGTCGAAATATTTTTTCAAAAAAAAACACGTTTTTAAGTAACTTATCAGCATTATCAGATTGAATACAATACAAATAAATTGCACATCCTCTAATAAATTTTGATTTCGGCTCTATAAAGAAGATTTGTTCAGTAATTATCTAATCCTCTTTAGCTCTTAATTTATCTTTAGAGAAGAATGTCGATAGAGAAAGAAAAGAAGAAGGGAGAGAAACTTCCATTAGATCTTAAAGAGATTTTCCTCCTGTATAAATTGGTCTCAAATATAATCTTATAATAAACAGCGATTGATTTTTATGGCACTTCTTAAGATTTTATGGAAAATTAATTTTGATTTTCTAAAAAAGAAGTTAGAATCTCTTGAAAATAGATTACGAAGTGTCGAAGTCACAACACTTTTTTTCGCTAGAAATCAGCTAAAACTCATGAATAAAACTCGTAGCTAATGTTTTTTAGAGGATGGACATACATCAAACTATAATTTTATTTTATTTAAAAGCTGTCAATACTTTTTACAAACTTTTCTACTGTTCAAATTTTAAGAAAAAATATAAAATTCGAACCTTAAGTATTGAATTCTAGATGCGATATTTGTTAGAAAGGAACTTGACAGAAACTAATTGTTTGTTTTTAAGAAATTATTCATATATTAAAAGGATTAAAATGAATTTAATCTATAGGAAATGCTTGACTCAATTATAAAATCAAAGAATTTTAAAAGTAAACAACGAAAAGATGACTCCCTTCTCTCAGTTCGACAAACAGAATTGATGATGGATGTATGGAACACGCCAATTTTGTTGTTAAATTCTTCATTATTCATCAAGAAGTAGTAATTTTCTGTCAACAAGCACTAATTATATACAGTTATTGTTTGTTTAACTACTTTCTCTAAGCAATATAATCGTGTTTATGTTAAATATCGTTAAGTAAAATAAGAATAAATCATTAGTCAAATTTTTTACTTATTATGTATAATCATCGAATTTACAAAAATTAAAGGTTTGATCAATATAAAACTAAGCATTAATTTTTTTTTTATCCTTTGTTAATACATTATAATTACTTATCGTAGGGGTGAGGATATTTTAACATGGAAAATTAGTCTACACGGAAATCTCTTATTTTTATTATTTAAAAAATATATAATATAGAGTTTAATTATATACATAAACGTAATTTCAGTCGGATCTTTAATACGGTTTTATTCAGTTTATCAAGATAAATTCAGCCCTTCTTCCAAGATAATTCCCTTTAATCTGGAATGTTTCAAAGCATTTTTCACCGTTCAGATATATTTTTAAGTTTAGTTAATTAAAGGAAAAGGTATTTCGGGAATATCTAACGAAACATTAATTCCTAATTAAATTTTCTTAAGAGAGAAATTCTTAAATCTGTAGATTTATATCAGACAAATCTTTAATTAGACACACGTCGACGAATGATGATAAGACCCCAGAAGCTAGTTTTAAGTACAAAATAACATCTGTAGTTGCATTAATAAAAATTTAATAGAAGAATACATGCAATTTTAATCTGTATAAGTAACTATATTCTTGGTTGGGAGATAGAGATGAATTATCCGAGTGGAAAGTGGGAACGAGTGCCATGTTATCACTCCTGCCTGGGGGACACTGGCGACCAACAGGACTCGAGAGGCGAACTAAATTACACAGCTGCTATACTTCTCAACCCCAGAAATTAAATTTGGATACAAATGGACCAGATGGATAGAATACAGAGTGATTCTTAACCGATTTCTCTTCACCATGAAATTATTCCTTTTCAAATTCTGAAAGCTCTAATGGTCACGATAATGCTTCTAAATTAGCAACGGAACGGCCGTCCTCTAACAAAACGTAGGCGTTTAACTTATAAGGCTATTATTTATGTTGGAAGATGTATTAACGCTTCTATACTCCACTACAGAATAAGAATAATGTATTTATTATATTCTATACTGGAGTGAAATATTCATTATAATAAGTCTAGGCCTCTAAAGTAACCTAGCCTACGTTTGAAGTGTCTTGATAACAGGAAATAGAAGACTAGTATAGACTTTCTACTAAAAATTATGACAATAATTTGTCAGCTGTTGTAATTTTATATTAAAACTATGAATTTAAAGATTATTTTTTGTATAAATTGTATCTGAGTAGGATAAGTAGAGGAAAAGTATAAACTTACGTACAAAAATATAAAGAATATAAGAATGATATGCAAAAAAATAGGAAATAATATTGAAGAAAATAAAAAGAAAGATTTAAATTATTTACATTAAACTGTTTTATTTTGCCTCATGTCAACCTTTCCTGCTTCAATCCTATATGATAATGGGATAGAAGAGTCTACTTTCAATTTAGGTTGCATTCTAATTTTAAACAGAAATTTTGTAAGGAAAGACAAAAAATAAATGGAAATTTTAGTCCCCTTTTTTTGCATAAAAATGTATAAATCTTACAAAATTATGTTTAATTTTAGCTGAAATCAACTTATTTACAAGCTTGATTTTGTATGCGAATACTCTTCATTTGTATATTATTATTATTACGGATTAAAATCGTTGTTATCTTAGAACAATTTCACAGAGAATTTT